GCAGGAGATAATGTGAAATGTAAGTGAAACTACACATGCATTTTATATGTTATTTGCATCAGTTAGTCTCAGGTATTCTGACTGAATGCTGCTTTTTTGAGGCTGGGAACTGGGAAGGCTTCTGAGCACGTTAGGTATAATTCAAAGTCAGCCTCATTCCGTCCCTTCCAGTCCAAATACTGCGTTGTAAGGTGTTTGTTGATTCAAAACAAGCTTACAACTGTACAGCAAAGTTCATTTTTTGGACTGTGGAGAAATTGTCACTTTTTCTTTTTTAACTTAGGAGTACTTTGGATAGAAGCATTTTCATTAGTAGTATTAAAAGCAGACAGTCTAAATATATTACAACAATTCCTGGTCCCAAGACAATTAGTGAATCTATTCAGTTGCTTGACAACAATGCAGACCCAGTGTTCTTTTTTCCAAAAGTCTTACGGAAACCCTGGGATCTTTCATTTTTATGTGCAAATAGATTTTAAACTATGAATTTGGAAATCGGCTTTCTGTAGTGCTTTTCCTTTTGGTTTTGTAGCTACTTGGACAGTCCTGTATTTACAGATAAGTTCTCGCAAGTGTGCTTATTCATATTTCTTAAAGAAGTTGTTCTTATCAAAATGTCATTTCCCCTCCAATTAATGGGAGCAGTGGGAAGTACGCAGGTACATGGTAGTGACTGAGCCCCTCTACATCTAGGGCTGTGAAATTGAAGTAATTAAATCTGACTGTAATGGTTAATTTTCCAGTGGCTGAGAGGGGTATGTGTATTTTATATTATTTGTAACCTTTGATTTGTAAATTACGATGCATCTTTTTTTGTTGTACGCTGATCAGTTCTCTTTGCTGGAGTCAGAAGTTACCCTTGGGACCACTATTTAAGTCTCTTAAAGAATATTTATCATTCCATGTACTAATGATGGCTTATGGAACTGGAGAATTCTACAAATTATTTAAATGCACCTTTTTCTGTCATCAAAGGGACCGTGGGATTTGCAAGACATGATAAGTTTGTGCAGAATGTTAATGGTCCTCCAGTTCACATGACAGCAGTAACTCGGGAAATTAGTTTTTCATTTGTATGCAGCGGAATCCAGTAACCATAGTCTTTGTCTGCACATCGGATTTGCTCCTAAGACTTCTGTTTTCTTTGACATAACAGCGAAGAAAGAAAATGCTGTTGAAACGCGGGAGGAAACACCTTCAGTGGTTTTGTTTGTGGAGCAGGTTCATATTACTGAGGAGCTGAGCTCTGGCTAAAAGCTGGAAGCTTAAAACTGGATATTGAAAAAGAAAATAAAAGATAAATTCAGGGAGACTACCGGGGTGCTACTGACTTACGTTGCTTTGGCCTCATGCCTTTGAAGCTAGTATTGAACCCTTAATTAATAACTGCTATGGATTGTAAAACTCCCAGAGTTTGGTGTTTCACCTGTATGGCAGCCCTGCTGAGAAAACAAACAGATTTCTTAGAAAATGGGATACATATAAAAGCTTACCATCAGTCTTCTGGTTTTGAAGTCTTAATGTAATTGACTCTACAAATGGGACTGTGGGAGTCTGGGTTTTTTTTTTTTTTTCCTTATGATTGGCTTGAGAGGAATAATCCACTTCATCGTGAGTTGAAGGAGAGAAAAATAAATCATCACTTTCCCAAACACACTTCTTGTCTTTTAGCAGAGCCTGTTGGTCCAACTGATTTCTTTTCTGCCTAATTCTTCCTGGGAAATGGAATCTCTGTGCAAAGTGGCTTTACTGTCCTTGTCCTTTATATCTGAAGTTAAGATTGTTTAGCTTGCGCTACCTTTGAGAACAAATGCTTGTTTCAGACTGCTGTATAACGTGAAATGGCACAAACCTAAACAATCTGATAAAAGCTCATCTGCTTCTTCCTGTTCTTCTGCAAAGGTTACTTTAATTGCTTATTATTTACTTCCTTAACAAAATATGTTGTGTCAGGTTAGTCTCTGAGCTTCACAGCCCATCTCAATTCCAGTTTGCTCCCCTAGCACAACAGAAGCTTTGCATGTCTTTGAATTTTCTTTTGAGTACTTTGTGGTTCTTTGAACCAAAGCCTTGGCTGCAGGCTCTGCAGTCCAGTTTGGTGTTTCAGCGTACTGGTACGCTTCTGCTGCTTAAGTCGAATGTTGTGGAAAGGCCATCTCTTCAGCCAGTGATTCTGGCCTTTTGCACAAAGAGCTGCCTTGGTTTCCCTTGAAGAGCTTGAGTGCTGTGCCTAATTAAAATAAAACAAAACCACCCCTGCCCCACCCAGCTCTCCTGTTCACGGAGGCTTTCCCTGAGAAACAGAAATAAGTGCGGGCGCAGCCAGAGTGTTGCACAGCTGGAGGACGTGCAAACCTCACGCTCTGGGCTCTATGCCACAGCTCAGAAAAATAATACATACCTGTTTCTCAAAGAAAATTCAATAGATGGATGGGGCCACAGTTAGCATCTAATCTCTGAATTTACTAAGAACTGAAGTCTCACTACAGGTCCTAGAAACTGGCAGTTTTGTAAGGTCCATGGTATTGGCTGACAGAGGCCAATGTTTCATGTGGCTTTCCAGTAACCAGATTTTTAACATTACATGCCAAGCTCAGGTACAGCTGTATTTACTCCTCCAAATACTAGGCAAAGAATCTGCTTTGTTTCCTATCTTAGCCCAGTGTGACATTGCAGTGGTGAGGGATGCAGACAGGATAGATTTTTGCAGCTAACACGTTTACAGAGTTTTGTGCATTTCTCCTGCCCTTTAAGACTACTTCCCTTCAGCGGTGCACTCCTAGAAATAACCCTACAGGCAATTCAGCTCCTGTTCTCCAGTGCCACACTCATTATCTTTTAACAAGACCAGTAAAACTGACATGTCAGGGTAGCTTGATGATGTTGTCTGGCAAGCTTGTTGCTTCAACAGAGGGGTTATGAGTTTCCTGGCTTTGGATTCGGGAGAAATGCCTTGGGGTTTTGTCTCTCAAGTATTGCTAGATCTTATTGTCGATAGCTGGAGGCCTCAGCTTCCACTAAAAAACAACCCTCAGTTCTTCAGAAATGGATGACTTGTGCTTGCCAGGAAAATCTGCTGCTTTGCATGCTCAGTTTTCAAGCTCTGACTTAAAGGCATGTGACCAGAGAGATGTGTCTTAGTGTTTTGTGCAATGTTCCCTTCTTGGTCACACTCATGCTGGAATAGATAAGCCATTTCTCAACAGCCCCACTGGAACAGGTCTTAAACCAGCATGGGGGCTCCACCCATGGATGGTGCTCTGGGTCACTTACTCTCTGCTTGCACTCCATTTCCTTTTGTGTTCCCATCAGTCGCCCACCCCAGTCCCCCCCCCGGCAGCTCGGAGAGCACCACACAACCAGCATTTTCCACTTAGATCCCATTCTTCCTTGCCCAAGGCTTCAAAATGTTATGGGCATTGGTGGCACTGGCTTCAGACTTCTGCCACAGTTTCTGAAGCCTGGTTTTGTAATTATTTTTATGGCCACTCATCTATCATCTGCGGGGAGGTCCATGTATATCTTGTTTATCCCTTTGCCATAGCATCTGAAAGCCTTTAGTTCATCCTTCCATATAAATCAAACCATTTGTGTCCCTCGCACTGTGTGGATGCCTTTGGGGCAAGTACTATCTGCAGGAGGAAAATGAGAAATCAGTGTCGTCCATTAGAAGAAGGTTAAAAAACTCTTGTCCTTCTGGAAGGTCAAAAGACGCTTGGGCCTCTGCTCACTCAAAGGCACAAAACAAGCCACTGGCCAAAGATGGTAACTTGCAGGTTACTTTCCAAAAGGCTTGTACTGAGCTGCTTTAACGCACTGCCATGTTGGTTTCATTAGGGTGCCTGCTTGCTGGGTGCTAAGGATGCTGGTAAGAAGGTAATATAAGCAAGATGTAATCCTCTCTGTCTGCAGACATGCCCACCACTGTCTGCTTTATTTTTAAGGTGGTGCTAGTCCTGAATAATTGCTGGGGTACAGCATATCTAAATTCAGAAAAGTCAGGGGGGTCTGTGGGCATGGAGGGCGAGTACCAGATCCCAGCATCTCAGCAAGGCTGGAACTGGCAGCGTTGTTTGTATGAGCTGCAGTGTCAGCAACACACCTGAAGCCTGACTTCAGCATGAGCAAATGGGAGGTTGACAGATCTTGGCAGAGGTGTAGAGGTTTTCATCAGCACAGAGACAATACAGGTTTTATTGAGGACATAGTTCCACTAACAGTCTAAAAGCATTTTTCTTTGAGGGCTGGAGTTTGACTAATCAGGTCTTCCATATGTTGTCCATCAGCTGTACGTATCTGAGAGATCTAATAAATGGACTTCATCTGTTCCTGCTCTTCCCCCCTCACACTCCTTAGTGGGCGTGGGGAGCAGAAGCTTTGGCTGTTTGTACTTAAGAACAGGGAAGAGGAAAGCGGGTCGTATGCAAAACCCTCTTGTCAGCACCTGAATGTTGTGAAATAACATCAGTGACTGATGTAGCTCTGGGAACCCTTCGTCCCGTGGTGG